TTTCTTTCTTTCTTTCTTTCTTTCTTTCTTTCTTTCTTTCTTTCTTTCTTTCTTTCTTTCTTTCTTTCTTTCTTTCTTTCTACTTTTGGTTTTGTTTTGTTTTTGGCCTTTGCGTGTGTGTGCGTTCGTGGATGTAGGGTGTGTAAAGGGTAGGGATGGTAGTGATGGTAGGAAGAGTGGGAGGAGCCCGAGGAGTACGAGGAGGAGTAGGAACCACGGGAGTGGAACTACAAGTAAAAGTGCAAATACTCAATCAAGAAAGCAATAAGTTAACAAGAGGGGAATAACGAAAAAAAATAGGAAGACGGCGACGGGTGTTGTATGTATAACCGGGGTTCATCAAGTGGATGTATATCGTATACTAAATCCACGCGTACGAGGATTAGTGTTGAAGAGATAGACTAGGAGGAGAGTTTTACCTTTTTTTTTAAAAAAAAAAAAAAGATTACAGGAAGGAATACGTACCAGGAGATAATCAAAGAACTGCTGCAATACAGGACGAGATCGCAAAGGTTCCCCTAAAACACGGCATACACAATGGGTAGTAAGATCTTAACCACAACAAGTAAATGTATGCCGTACGTACCAAACGGAAAGAAGGCGAAGGAGCGCAGCGAACGACGACGGAGTACCCAAGGTAGAAGAAAAAGGAGACGAAGATGAAAGACTATCCCAAAAGGGGCTAGCTTAGGGACAAGAAATGAGGAAAAATTCCCCTTTTAGGGGCTAAGAAAGGCGCCCGCTCCTCTATTCTTCTGAATGCATGATAACCGTAAGAGAAAACATGGAATCCGTAAAGACCAACTGCCACTCCATCGGGCATCCACATGTCTAAATAACCAACACCCGATCAAGTCTATCATTTCATTCCAATTGTCAAACCCATCCAAATTCCGTTCGAAAAGGCCCTACTCGGGATATAAGCGCCATAGACAGTGTAGTAGAGACCCTCCTTGACCACCCAACTCCAAGAGAAACGTCAGCCAAAGCGTGCGAATACGTCCGTCTAAAACAGCCCAGTTTCCTTGTTCACCTTCAACCCATCCACTCCAATTGTGATCGCCTCAACCGCAGGAGCAGTGCCATTCCCACTGAGGTATTCCGCCGTGATCTGCTCCAGCATCCCAGCACTGGCGGCGATGAAGCCAAGGTAAGGCCGGCTCGGATCCAGCACCCGAGAAAGGTACTCGGGATGGAACTGCACTCCCACGTACCACGGGTGATCCCTAATCTCGATGACCTCCATACGCTCGCCCTTGTCATCTTTACCGATAAAGGTCAGACCTCCCTGCTCAAGGCGGTCGATGTACTCGGGGTTGACTTCATATCGGTGCCTGTGTCGCTCGAGAATCTCCTCCTTCTCGGCATACAGGGCTCTCAAGCGGGACCACTCGCTGCCAGGCTGGAAGAGCGTGGGTCGCAGCCCCAAGCGCATCGTGGCACCCATCGTCTCCTTGTCGACCTCGGGCATGAACATGATGAGCTTGTCGGCAGCTTCCCCGTTGAACTCCTCAGAAGTAGCACCCTTGATGCCGCAGACGTTACGGGCATACTCAATGACCGCAATCTGCATCCCAAGGCAGATGCCCAGATAGGGGACTTTGTTTTCACGCGCCCACTTGGCAGCAGCAATTTTGCCCTCTGTGCCGCGGATACCGAAGCCACCAGGAACAAGGATACCGGAAGCTGTGCAAATGGAGTGCCAAGCTGTATGATAGGCGGCCGGGTCTGCGGAACTCTTGCTGGGTTCGAGGTCCTCGGAATCCACCCATCGGATCTCCAGTTTGCGTTTGCATCTCATCGCCGAGTGCTCGAGCGCCTTCACAACCGAGAGATATGAGTCCTGCAGCTCGGTGTACTTGCCCACCAAGGCAATGGATACAGTCTCGTAGAAGCGCGAGTTCTCGGGTGCCGTGAGGTACTTCCACTGATCCCAGGTACGCCGCCCCTTCTGGATGGCTTCCGGAGAGAGGGAGATACTCTTCAGATCGAGGATGTCCTGGAGAAGGGGAATGAGGCCTTGTTGTTCGAGGAGTATGGGAACTTGGTAGATCGAGGGCATGTCTTTCACGACAATGACCTGGGTCTTGTCGACGAAGCAGAAATGAGCAATCTTCTCGATTGATCCCGGCAAAAGGTCGCGCTCGCAGCGGCAGGCAATCTGTCAAACCATCAGCTCGGCATACGGAACTAAGGATAGCATCGAACCCACCAGATCTGGGAGCAGACCCTCCCTGCGGGCAGCCTTGATCGAGTGCTGTGTCGGCTTCGTCTTCTGCTCCCCATGGATGACGGGTACATACGACACGTGGATCTGCAGGAAATTATTCTTCCCTGCTTTCCGTCGCAATTCGGTCATCGCTTCGACAAAAGGCATGCTCTCGATATCTCCAACAGTACCACCAAGTTCAATAATGCACACGTCGGGCTCCTCACCAGTGTCATCCACGGGAATCTTGGCTACCCTCTCGACCCAAGCCTGGATGGCATCGGTGATATGCGGAACCACCTGCACTGTCTTTCCCAAATAGTCGCCTCTGCGTTCTCGCTCAATGACGTGTTGGTAGATCTTGCCCGTGGTGATGTTGTTGTCTCGCGTGAGGGTAATGTTGAGGTAGCGCTCGTAGTTGCCGAGATCGAGGTCAACCTCGCCGCCGTCGGAGAGGACGAAGACTTCGCCATGCCTGTCCGCCTTAGCAACTCCATCATGTATTCATCCCGTCCCACGAAAGCCGGCACACGTACTCCTTCGGGTTCATCGTGCCCGCGTCCACATTGAGGTAGGGGTCAATTTTGATCGAGGAGACGTGCTGAGAGGTCAGTTGAAGTCGCAGCGCCCAGGCACGCAGGACTTATCTTGAGCCCCAGAGTCTTGAGCAGCAGGCCGGTGGAAGATGCTATGATGCCCTAGTAAGTCGCAGCAGGTTAGTCGATAGGATCAATCTGGCGAGTGCCTTGCGTATCTCACCTTCCCCACGCCGCTGATGACGCCACCAGATACAAGCACGTACTTCATGGCTGGTTTGTAGGTGACTTGCAGCTTTTTGGGGAAGGGGGGAGGGAAGAAGGGGAAGAAAGAAGATTTGCTGTTGAGAGATGCAAAACTTTAGTGGGTCGGCGGGTGCCTTGCGCCAAGGCTGAGGCACGGACCATCACGGCGCTAGACTACAATACCTGAGGCCTTATCTCACAGCGCACGCCGTACACCTCTCCCTCACCCCATACAAGCCCAAACCCGTGTATACAGTCTCACACGCGTCCCTGCAGTCCGAATCTTCGAGCCAAAGCTCATGCACAAAGTCAATCCCCTCACATCCCCACTCCCAGCAATCCGAAAAACTCCATTATCCCGAATGAACAGCGTTATTCCCCTACCTCCTCACAAGCCCCATCCCTTAGCAAAACCGCGAACTGGACACTTTAGAGATTCCTTATTGACACTGTACATAACACTCCTGCCTTCCTCACGTCCACTCCGCTACATCTCCCTAGGCTCCCCAGTCACAACCGCGTGTCCTCCCTTGGTCCATAGCCCTTGTCCCCAGTGCTTGCTTGTCATTGATTGATACATGCACCCTCCAAGAAGAACAGATATTCCACCCGACAGTGAATGAGGAAAGAAAGCGCCATCGTTAACGTCATAAGCCCATGCTCTCGCAGAATCGAAGGAAAAGGAAAATATTCTAAAAATGCGGAATGCGAAATGCGGGATGCGCGGCGCCATGCACAAAACAGTGTTTCTAGATGAGAACAAAAGAACATGGAAAAGAGAATAGGAGAAAAGAAGAAAATAGGCCATAGTCCGGTTCCTCTATCCTGCCGGCATAGCTCCAGTTCAACAGTAATGGCAACTGTCCCGCCCCCGCCCCCAAAAGGGATGTGTCAACTTTCTGGAATATTCTTCACTTTTCGTCATCCAATTCCAAGAAAAGGGGCTCGTTAATCCTTCCGTCTTCTCTTTTCTGGATCCTCATCGTCGGCTTCCTGGCTTAGGCTCGCTGCTAACCGCTTCCTCGCCCTCGCGGTCTCATTCCCCTTCTTCACCTGGATATTGCACCCCTGCAGCTTCAGCGCCCGCGTCAACGCGCTACTCGACCTCATCCCCGGGAAGTCCTTTGCAGTATAAACGGTAAACACGTCGCTGAGCACCTCGGTCAGAATGGGCGAGTATCCCCCGACATGCAGGTTCATGGGATCGATCCGCATCAGCACGAAGCGAAGCCGATATCTTCCGTGCGTCCGACAGGACAGATCCGGGAAGCAGAAGAAGCATCCTTCGACGTCGTGTTCGTCTTTGGCTACCGAGGGAGACGCTACCAGTTGGCCCATGAGCCGCCGCGTGGTCCGTCGATCGGGCTGGATGAGCGCTGTTTCCTCGTTTGTGCCTTCGGCGTTCCAGAGCGTGCAGTGGACTACGTTTAATGAGTAGCGCAGTTCTTCTTCCTCTGGGGCGCCCGTTTTCGGGTCCGTCACGAGCAGTTGGATGATGGGTGGGGGGTCGATGACTCTGCGGTCTCGCTCGCCGAAGCCGCATGCGCGAGCAGCGATGGGTTGTTGCCGTACGCGAAGCTCGTAGTTCAGGTTTCTGGGAGAGCGTCAGCGGGAGGGAACGCACTTTCCTCAAGCTCAAGGAGGCTGAAACGCTTACACTTTCTCGTCCAGCACCGGCTGCGGTTGCGTCCCCGGTAGCGGGACTGTCCGCGGTTCCTGCCGGGGAGGAGGACCTGGAGTGGCATGCTCCGGGTATGCTAGTGGTCCCGAAGATGTGTTCAGGGAGCCTCGATGGGAGTGGGAGTGCGAACCCACAGAACCGCGGAATGCAGTACTGCTGGATGCGTAGCTGGGAGTGTAGCTGGGCGACGAGTAAGGAGCGTATGGCTTTTGCTGCGAGGGTTCCACGGGCGAAGCAAGGGTTGCATAGGACTGCTCGTGATGTGTAGGGTGGGCGGGACGGTTCTCCTCGTACGCATAACGTTGCTCGTTCAGTCTTCTGGGTGCTCTGCTGTCATATTCGGAGCGAGGAGATATTGGCGGACCATAGTGCTGAGGAGAGTAGGACTGCTCTGAGCGGGGCGGGGTGTACTGGGCGGGATGCAGGAGTTTCTCAACCGGAGCAGCGCGGGGCACGGGGTGCGACTGCGAGTGCTGTCGGGGCAGGCCCGGGTGGATCGAGGGCAGCTGGTTCACGGGCGAGTGGAATGGGTAGTCGGACCGTGGAGGCGGTTGTACAGCGTCTGGCGGGATCTCCAATGGCGGGAGGCGGGCGGGTTGTGGCAGACGGCGGTTGGGATAAGGTTGGGAGAAATTGGGGGGAGAGAAGACGGGTAGCTTTTGAGTCTCGGTCATGTCTGGAGCAGAGCGGGCGGCGTTTGACGGATGGTGGAGTGGAGGCAGTGGAGGTGGAGGTGGTAGTTGGGACATGCGTGGTGTTATTTGTTGCCCGAGCCAGGACACGATGCACCAAGCCGCATTGGAGAACAGGGGCGTCCAATTGAGCGAGGAGTTGTTGTCGAGATTTGGAGAGCGCCAGGGAGTGGTGCAAAGGTCGGACGGAACGGGCAGGAATGTGAGTGTGGCGGCAGGTTGAGAGAGGTTTATACACGATACACTGGAGCGGGTCGTGCAGGTATCTGGATCGCTAGCAGCCAGATGGCCGCACCGAGAGCGTCCTTTCAGTTCCGTTCGGTTGACACGGAGGAAGGATGGCGCTCAAGCTCAGACAGCGACGTGCAAGGACTCTCCACGAGAGACGGGGGGATGCTGGTTTTGCAGAGTGAAGGAAAGCCAGACACGCACAGGCCGGGTGGGTGCAGGTACTCGGTATATTATATCCAGGTTCCGGGTGTTGAGCTATCCGCACCTGTATACCGATGTCGATTGAATTCTGGGGGAAGGGACTTGGAGGGTCATGAAGCGCGGCAGAGTCGTTGTCCTGTGTATGTCCAAGTACTTGTAGAGCTGTTTATTAGAGGGGTTACTGTGATGTGATAGGCGCAGGCATGCAGAAGAAGACAGTTGAGAGGGAGAGTCGCGGCCCCGGGTAGCTTGGCATCCACCCCGGCCGTTGGAAGGACGGCAGAAGCCCTGGCGATGCGCGGTGGTGATCCGGTCTGGTCTGCTGCTCCCCCGCTCCTCGATGCTCTCTCTTCTCCACTTTGCCATAGATATGCCTGTTCATTTTTAATAATTCTCCGTTGCTGTTTCTCTCCCCACGCTTGCACTCTCCCTCCTCCCTCGCCCCCGTGTGTTATCGATGATGAGGGTTACGAGGACCAAGGCGACGACAGCTCGCAACACCACCAACTCCAGCTACTGCGGGCCGCAGGCAGATGCTAGAGCGGCGTCCAGTGAAAAAGCAACATGGGCGCCAAGTAGCAGAGGGTCCGCACGCAGGGCGACGCTTGCCATTATTCTCCGTCTGCTATCATCTGGGGTCCTGGGCTCGTGGGCCAATGCCGAATGAAGTCAGGGCCGGGTAAAACGACAAACAACGGCGGACCCCATGTTTCGCAGGCTGCTCAGTGCTGGCGAGCGTCCGACACGGGTAAAGATGTGTTTCGAACCAGAATCGCCGGTTCGTCGACGTTGCACCGGATGCTGCTGGGGCGGCCGCCAATATGGAGCAATTCTGGTAGATTGCTCCGTGACCGAGTACTACTGGCACAGTAAAGTGCACACAGTGCGCTCCACGAGACGGCCCAAGAGTAGTCGCTTTACCTAGAGAGTCGCATTCCAGGGCGTGCAATACCGAGCAGCGAGTGGAGCCATGACGGCAATAGCATATGCAGAGATGAGGAGATGGCCATGAACAGCCTCCAGAGGAAGCGGACGTGCAGGCTCCCGGTTTGGGAGAGGGACCCATCCGGTTTGGGTGAGCGTCGGTGGAGAGCTGTCTCGAAACAGAAGGGGATGTACATCGCTAAGAGACTCGCCATGCCGTCCTTCCTCCTCCTTTGGTGCTTGGATGCATGGAGCCCGAGAAGCCTGGGGCAGTGAGATGGGGTGCGTCGTGGTGGCTGGCGGTCCTCTCCTAACCGTCCCGGAGGCCATGTTGCACACGGACAGGCCAGCCCTGAAGTCCTGGGTGCATCGTTCACTTGCGTCCGGGTGACGGCTGGCCGAATTCCTGGCTCGTAGCACTTGGTGAGCTCGCACAGCGGGAGTTTGATGGTTGTGATGGTGGTGATAGTGGCCCGTGCGCGCGAATCAACGGCGGCCATGGCGGGCTCGGTTAAAGCAAGCAAACCCCCGGCCGGGGGGGTCCACCAACGTCGAGGTCGAGGAGAAACGTCCCTCCACCCCACGGACCGTTATTGACCACCACCAACCACCACGGATCATCACCACCGCCTGCCACCGCTCCCCGACACCGTGACGCCTCCTCGCTCGCCCAGGCCCACTCACAACCTCCGCCGTGTCCCGGGTCTGCGGGCCATGCAGGACAACCGTACACAGTAAGACGTGCACCGCAATCAACCCGTGAGCTGCCCGACGGCTTTCACGCCTCGGACCCTGGCTGTCGGTCTCGTCTTGTCAGATTTCCTCTCCCATCGCCTTCGTCTTCAAACGTAACAGGAAGCCTGACTTCTTGTTGAACGACCGCTTGCAAACCACTGCACGAGACCACGGGAACTGCCCCTCATCCGCCGACGAGGAGCGCCTGGTCTTAGTGTCACCAATAAGGCCCTCGACCCTGTCTAGAAAATACCCTCAACGAAAAACTCGTCCAGCCTGAAAAGCATACATAGTAACCATATTGCCAGCGGATTGTTTCATGTTGCACAAGAGTCCTGGCCACATCCTACCCTAGCCCGCCTTGGATGAACCATGAGCATCATTATTATTGAAGACTACATACTCGGCTGGTCCCATTCCGCTCTGGATTTGCCGCCAATGACTGCTTGGACCCGCACTGGCACCCTGTCGATTGACCCAATCGACCTCCCTCTACTTGTATTCCTGGCTGTCCACCTACTCGACCATTTCGGTCGTGATGAGGCTGACATGATGCAACCTGTGCCATGATGCTCCATCTTTGCGATCCAAAGAGAAAACAAGGAGCACCACCAGTCGGTGAGATATTGATGAGTTTGTTGGGAGATTGAAGGTGCAAGGCAGTGTACCCCGTAGACTACACGGCCACCTGCCGTTTACGCCAACCCATCTTCACCGCCACTAGCCACTATCCCTAATACGGAAGCCGCCCCGCCCTATCCACTTGCCCACTGCTCTCTCCCTCACAGTTCACTACCTGCTTCTCGGATAACCTCCACCTACTACACATTCCACAATCATTGAAACCCCACTGCCACCATATTGTCCACATACCACCATCCATCCTTCACTTCTCGGCCGCAGCCGCCGGGCCCCACCAACATCACCAAAAACTGCAACAGCCGTACCGTACTTCTGTACAGTACGCGCTCCTCCTCATGGCCACGGATTGGGGCAATTACAAGAGTAAATAACCACCCTCCCCCATCACCCCTACCCCCCGCTCCCCGCTCCTCGCTCCCCTTCCGTCCCGGGTTTGGAGAGCTCCGGCAGTTGCAAATCAAAGGCCGATCGGCTCGCTGACCACGTCCGCTCCAGATTACCATGGACCGTCAAGCCAAATCCCAGGTTCTGCCACCGCAATGCATTGCCCGGATGCCCGCCTGGCCCTGCTGGACAGCCTGGTTCCGGGACTATTCGCCGCCAAGCACATCCTCGACATTGGCTGCAATACGGGCAACGTGACTTGCCAACTGGGTATGTGAGCCGGGATCCCCTCCCAGCCATGCAAGCGATTATTGCGTTCCCTACTGATATCCAATCCACCCGCAAAGGCTTCGACTTCGCTGCCGCTTCCGTCACAGGAGTCGACATCGACCCGGAGCTGGTCCAGCAAGCTGAAAACTCCTTCGCCTTGCGTGCCTCTCGCGTACGCCCAGCGACCAGTGACTCCGAACGCATCGTGGATTACTTCCCCATCTCCGTTGTGCTGGAGCACGGTTACCGCTTTGAACCACGAACCAATATCGCCTCCCAACAAGATTCCGAACTCGCCACGTTCCCCGAGTGGCCGCGTGTGAGCTTTTTCTCCGGCGATTGGGTCACATCAGCAAACCGGGCTACCGAAGGTCCATACGACGTGATCCTGGCCTTAAGTGTCATCAAATGGATACACCTGGAGCATGGCGACGACGGCCTGGTGACTTTCTTCCGCAAGTGTGCGTCATCGCTCGCTCCCGGCGGCTATCTCGTTATCGAACTGCAGCCATGGAAATCGTATGAGAGAGCTGTTCGCCCTGGCGTTGCCCCTCACTTCATGGAAAGTTTCCGCAAGTTGAAGTATCGCCCTGAAACTTCCTTCTCTGCTTTATTGCAAGAGCACGGGCTCCACCTCTGCAACGAGTCCGACGCCCTCCCCCGTCGGATCTCCGTCTACCACAAAGCATGACATGCGGTGCCAGGACCATCTCGGCTTGACACCCGCACTACTATGTGACAATCGTCACTGCTGGAACTATGCCTCTCTTCATGTACTCTGTATCGGTAGGTCATGCCATCGATTTATGAGTCCGAAATTGACAAGCCCATTCTGGGGACGTGAACAGCGCTCAGTGTCACACGCTTTCCTCCATTGTGGATCTATTTACTGGCGCCCGACGTCGGCATCAATTTCGGGTCCATGCTACCTCTGGCCGGTTGCCCACCTGCGGAAGAATCGATGTCTACAAGTACACAGCACATATCAAGTAAATCGAGGGCCCTGCATCGGAGGGATGGTTCCGCCTCCATATATTGCCACCGACTGCCAGGGAACGATGGATGTATGCAGGTGACTGCCACCAGCCACTTTGTGAAGCAGATCTTTCTGTAACTTAATACCTCGACTTTCATCACATGTTTCCCGCCTAGTAGTAAGTTCCACGTGTACTAGGCACGCAATGGCGGCTATGCTCAGCAAGCATTGTCCAATTTCTACGCGGCTATAAGCGTCCTATGCACACCGCCTACGATATGGAGCCCGTAATGAGTACTTTGTATTGGACGTTCAAACCTGGACGGAAGGAACTGGTATTATTTACACCGAATGCAAAACCTTCCATCTACGCAGAGTACCTTTGTAGGCCGAATACCGGATCGACCCGCCACATGGAGCAACCTTCGGTCCCTCATGACATAGAAACGACCACTACCTAGGTAATTGAAGATGCATGCATGCATCAGGCGCATGACAGCCGCATGACAGCCGCCATCCGATATGACGCTCCTACCTACTACGTGTGTATGCACAGTCCGCATCTGTTGTCTGCATGCCTGGCATTTAGCCTGGGGAGCAAACATGTATTACACCCTTTACTAATTAATCTCCTCCACATCCGCATCTGCACGAATTGTGCGACGTCGTCTATCCTGCCACGGTGACGCATAGTGGTTACTGGATTGCATCCTTAATATACTGCGTGGACGAGGGCCCGGTTCTCGGACGGATGGCAGACTACCGGTTTGGCTGATGATTCATTAGTAGACTAGGCACACGCGTGGTTGTTTTTATCGTGTCGTGAAGCCCTTTCAACAAACTTTTAGATCTTTTCCCCTCATTCTTAGATATTCTGTTCTCGCGAGGTATATGTGGGTGTGTAACGAGTCTTTCGCATAATAGCATACAAAGGTTGCAGACAGTGAGGAAGAGGTGATTGGGAACAACAGCAGCTAGGTTCCTGATTGGGAGTGAGAGAAAGCGCTTGTAAAGCATAGGCATAGGCGAAGGTATTTCACAAAAAGAGGGGAGTGGAAAGAGTAGTGAAAAGGTAGAAAGGTGATAGGAGGGTTATACCATGGAACAACAGCGATCCACGGGCGATGACCTTAGGTTGATTTGGCACCAGACGCGTGCAGACGGGGTTAGGCAAAAGGAAAGGATGAGATAGAGAGAGCAGGACTGAGAACCCGGAGTATGTACAATCGAACTGCGGCTGGCTTCCCCCTTAGCCCTCCCTCCCGTACCAGATTGCACACTCAGTACCATGTAAATAGTCTACCTACAGCAGAAGAGTCGAGATATGAGATACAAGCGAGTGAGTTGGGAGACGTACATACTACTCGAACAAGGCAAAGTATCGTGCGACAGGACTCGAACCAAAACAGATCCCTCTCAGGACTCGGTGCAGGCGTGTTTGCTGCCCAAACACGCGGTGGCTGTCGATATAGCAGCGCATCTCCGTCTCGATCTATGGGTAAACCAATGCTACTCGCTGGAGAAGCTCCTATGGCCTGCAGAGCGTGAGAAGAGCGCGTATATCCGCTCAGCAGAGGTGAAACAATAATCATCATGTCGAGCAAGTCGACATGGCAGACTGTCGTTCGCGCGGGGGCCGCGGGAGACTCGTACCGCGTGCAGGTGCGGTGCGGTTCCTGGGGATGCCGTGGCATACGTAATCGAGCTGTTGGGCTCATGAAGCCGATAATGAAGGGCGCCAGCGAATTGTTGCATCCAGGAAAACAGGTTGCAGACTTGCTCGTCTCGTCTAGGTACAACAAGTACTCCGCTCCCCCTTGAAACGTTGCTGCAGAACATATCTAAATTCTTTGGCTTGCCCTGGCTGTGAAACGCCGACAACGCATCAATCGTTTCTCTGGCCCACCACCGATTCTCCCTCGATGCACACACACATACACGTCTCCATCCCACCACTACCGATGCCTCTCATACTCTGCACCATTCCGAAAACACTCAGCACCCGCATCGTTCGTTTGACCGTTGGGCCAAGATGAAGGGGCGATTTGGACGCTCCCAAGCCAAAGCGGTTGCCACGTAGCGGGCTGCCGGCAGCCTGCGCCTCCAGCTATCCATTTCCTGCTGCACATTCACTGCAACGCAGTCCGGTCCTCGTCAACCTCGACAGATGCTCTACTGCTATCTCACACGACACGACCCTCCAGGATGGAAGGGAACACATCCCAGACGGACCTGCTCCCGTACTATGCCCGCGACGCATCCTCATCGGTAGACCCCGTCCACCTGTGTGGTGGTGGCGGAAGGGGTTCAGCTTGAATGGAAACACCATTCGCCTCCCTGCGTGCAGCCAAGGGGCCCGCTGGGCAATCTGTCTACTATTCCATATCTATATATGGGTCGAGGCATCGTGGCGGGCCGTCCATCTCGTTGTCCAACATCGCGCGCGGGTAGGTACGCGACAGAGAGATATATATATCTGTGCGGGTTGGGCGTCTCGGGCAAACAACGCCAACTCCGTCTCATCTATCGGTCTCTCTCTAATAGGTAAGCATCCTGTTTATTCGGCCGCACAAGCGGCTCATCAGCAACGCCCGTAACAGAGCCACCAGGGCTTGTCATAAGGCTGGCTGCCAGTGCTGGCTGCGGGAAACGGAACATGTGGTTTCTATGTGCGAGGGAGACTAACAACCAAAAGTAGGTCATTAGACGTTTCGTTTGGTTTCCCACTGCAGTCTGCCCTCCACGGAACCTTCGTGCAGATCGAGTGGAGGGTGGTCCATCATCTGGCGAGCGGCGCGTGTCAGCTTACATGCTGCTATCCTTGCCGAAACTCTCACGACGAAGCGAATGACCTTCGGCTCCACGTCGTACAATCCCGAGTAGAACACCCACAACGATTCGGCATCTCGGAAAGTGGGAACCCAGATCGCCAATACCAGACGCTACATAAAACCCCACGATCGACAAAAGAGAGCGTCGCCATAAGGCTTCGAAGCCGCGTCGCGGAATTGGGAAGTCCGGGAGATCAACGTCCAACGCACGGCACACCGCCGCACGTCCGCCCGCCCCCCAATCGCGAGCATTTAGGGAGGACGTGATGCCGCCGGACAGACTGTCCTTCACGGCCCTCAACGTCCCCGACGACGAGGTGCCAGAATGGATGGGCTCCTTCACGCTGGCGGCGCCGCCCAACACCGATCTCTGGCGCAAGCCCCCCAGCCGCGACACCTCGACGGCGCCCATTCTCTACACGGCGCTGCGCAACCCCTTCATAGCCGCCGAGGTGACCGTGTCGGCGGACTGGGAATTGGAATGGGATCAAGCCGGGTTGGTGATATTCGCGGGCGCGCCTCCAGGACCTCCAGGACGAACGGGAAATTCGTCGCCGGTCGTGGTGGAAATCACTCCAAACGCAGCGGCAACACCGCCAGCGACAGCGATTCTCTCCGAACCCACCCTTAGCGCAACATCCAATAACACGGCCTCGAACCTAGCCCACGCATTACCCGCAGCAGCAGCTCCTCCCCTACACGGCGCACCACCAAATGCGGGGCAGCAGGAGCATCAGCAGCAGCAGCAACATCAGCAACCCACTCCCCTCGACGTTACACACTCTTCCCCTTCCGACCACGTCCACGACCCACCACCCGCCTACCTGGCCCCCGCCCCGGCCTCCAAATGGGTCAAAGTCGGCCTCGAATTCTGCAACAACGCATGCCACGCCTCGTCCGTGTGCGCGACGTCGGACGGCGCCGACTGGGCCCTCAGCGCCCTACCGCCGCACCACGCGCGCCGGCTAGACCTGCGCGTCAAGATGGAGCGCATCGGGTATGCACTGTGGGTGTATTATCGCGACGAGGTGGCGGGTTGGAAGAAGGTCAGGGAGGTGACGTGGTTCTTCTGGGGGGTCGAGGATAAGGCGGTCAGGGTGGGCGTGTATGCGAGTCGGCCGGCGAATGTGGGGGTGAGTGTTTTTGAGCAGAGGAGGATGATTGGGGGAGGGGGAGGGGGAGGAGGGATGGGGATGGGGTTTATGCAGAGGAATTTGTGTGTGGATTTTGAGGGGTTGGAGATTTATTAGGTTTATTGGGGGTTGGAAGGAGGCGGAGGGAGGAGGGCAGAGGGAGGAGGGTAGAGGGGGCCAGTGTGGTGCTTTGGAAGGAAGGAAGGAGAGAGTTGAGTTGATGATGATGATATTGGTGCGGTGGTCAAAAATCATCTTTTTCCGCGTTTTACCCTTTCATTTCCTTTCTTTCGTTTGCCTTTTTCTTCTAACTGCAATCCCCCTGTTCGCGGCCTTTTTTCCGCATTGTATCTTTTTGCTTGCATTATTCCTTTCCCTTTCCTTTTTTTCCCTTCTCGGTCTTTACGCTCCATGTCGAACGTGGTTAACGATGGAGGCATCTTGCTTAGCTTAGTCCTAGTTGTTGTTTTCTGCTACAGTATAGTATAGTACCGCTGGTATATCAGGTACACCTACACACGCTTAGGGTATCGTCATCCTCATCATCATCCTCATCATTTGCCCGTACCCTTCTCTCAACTTCTCCCACAGTCTCCATTATGATCACTTGGCAGGTTTTGGTGATAGGTACGTACTTCGGGGCGGGATGGGTTAGTATACATAGTAGTAGCTATTAGCATGATATAAGGGTACCTTTCCGTTTCCATCTTCCGTCGTGAGGCCCTTTGCTGGATCGTTGTGGCTTTGTCCGCGTTTGCGTGGTTTGCGTTTGCGTTTGCGGTTACGTTGTGGATGGGGGGAATGTGGGTGATGAGTGATTGCGCTTGTAGCGGGGTGGTGGAAAGTGCTATTTAATAGGTGTATTGCGAGCGGGGGAGGAGTTATGGGTTGTTGTGATGGTCTGCGAGGCGGGAGTTGCAGTGTGCTACATAGCCAGAATAAAGTGCAAAACGCGGCTTTTGCCAGGTCCTAGCAGAGCGAGCGTTTCAGGAATCTATCGCTGATTATACTCCTGTTTTGCCATGGGTCAATTTGCAGGCCAGGCCAGGCCAGGCCAGGTAGCGGGTGGGCATAGAGAGTATCAGGTAGGTATAGGACTGGTTTTTGTACTTCGCTGCTGGGTGGTTATGATTTCTGTTTGGAGTAATTCACACGAATGGGGTGATGCTTCATTTTGGGAGCAGTATCGTCTCGTTGGGTGGGAATGCTCTTGATCTTCGTTGCGGGGGGATAAGCGCGTTTGACTACCCTACGTACGAGGACCGGGGCTGTCAGTGAGCATTCACTTCGTGCCTCTCTGGTGTCATAGACGTGTGCCGCATTCACAAATCCCTTGGGAGTCAAAAACAAGTTAGCATACACATGCTCCACTGAGAGGCAGTCGCGAAACAAACCAACCCAAAACGTGCGTGCTAAAAAACTCTCACAGTCGATGTCTTCGCATGTCCACATCAGCCATCGCAGGGCAGGCCGAAGCACTTCTCTCACCGCAATCAAATCTGCATATCACATATTAATTCCGTCATCCTGAATTACAAAATCCTTTTCCCTTTGCTACAGTATTACCTCTGGGGTGTCGACGACTGCGGATTTTCAACACGCCACTGTCCTTCTTCCCTCCTACACGTGCACACACACAGAATGTTCACACCTATCAACCCCCTCACCCTCAACATCGCAACCGCACTACCATTAATCATGCACGCACAATCTCCCTACCCAACCTTCCATTTTTCCCCTCCTACAACGCCGACCACTTTCGTCCTTCCTCACAACCGATTCCCCGACCGTCCACTCCGAAACAGGCGCGCCGAAAACAACGACCCCGAAGCCCTGGACCGCCCACACGGGCCCCCACCGCTCTCGATTTATTATCCCACGGTTACTTCGTCGTTGCAAGCGACCTCTTTGTCGTCGTCTCTGGAGTCATCTCTGGTGTCGTCACTTTATCCATCGCCAGCTCCGCATACGACGACGGATCTTTCTACATTTTCCGCGAGTACGGGATATACATCCCTCTCCACATCCCCTTCTACATCCCTCTCTACATCCCTCTCTCCATCATTCTCTACCACCCCTCCTTTCCCCCTCTCCACCTCCCTGCTTACCTCCTCACCACCCACCACAGCCCCACACCCACCCACCCCAACCCTCCCAACCCACCTCCTCACATACCTCCCACCCAACTGGCCCTATACGACACCGGGGGTGGGGAGGAAGGCAGGACAGACGGCGACGTATACGATTTCCATTTCCATCAACAATTCAGAAAGTCGGAGTGGAAATGTTGAGGATGATGAGAAGGGTGAGGCTGTGGGCCTGGTAGTAGCGTCGTTGCAGTGGTTTCCGCGGCCGCTGGGTCGGCGGAAAGGGCTGGCTACCGGTGTCGGTGTCGGTATTGGGGAAGTCGGGAGTGACGGGGGGTTAGGAGAGAAGAGCACCGGGAGGACAGGGACGGGAACGGCAACGAGGAAACAGACTGAGAAATCAACGGAGGGCGTGAAGGGGAAGTCTCGGGAGACGGAGACGGGCACGGAGCCGCAGCCGCAGAGCTCTACTAATAAGTAAATGCCTCGACGATCAGCACATCGACTTCTTCGGCTTCCCTATCTTCTTCGCTGCCGACGTATGCGATGCCGGCTGTAATGTATACGGTGTCATACGGGTCGTTTATGCATGAGGACGACTTCTAATCCCGCGTTCTCATTAGACCTTGGGTTTTTTCGGGATTCTTGCGGAGGAGGTAGTGGGTTGAGGAGCAGCCGTGGATGGAAAGGAAGGGACAGGATCATTTTCTGATGCTGCTGTATTACTATTATTCGGAGACGAATCTACGTCTGAGCAGAGGGGAAAAAATACCAATATCCTCTCCTCCCTCGCTCCATCCCGAGATCATGCAACCCATTTCGCCGCTTCTTCTACCTTTCCCGTCTTACGCTCAATGCATACATATATACACACGCAAAAAAAGAATTCCTTCCATAGATATCAAAACCCATTTACCCTCATATCACACCTCGTCTACCGCCTCACCTCCCAAACCAAATACGGCCCAATAACCACGCAAGCCTTCCAAATCACCAACCAACTCTCCACAAACAACACCCAGGGCACCCTCCAAACGGGCCCCTCAACCATCCTTCTCCACACCGCATAAAACGCCACGGCGAAGAAATGCCGCACCAGCACCGCCGGCCGCTTGATCAGCCCAGCTAGTAACCCGCACGGCTCGGCAACGCACCGGCCACCGCGCTGGAAGTACCGGAAGCACCCATTCTGCAGTGTGACGAGGCGGGCATCGTCGGCGGCGAAGAGCGAATACAGCGCCATGGCGAGGATGTTGATGACGGTCGACGACGACTTGCGCGCCCAGTGGAAAGCCGCCATCTGCTCGAGGACCTGCTTCGTGTTCTCCAGACTGGGCACTCTTTCGGGGGAGAGCAGTTGCGAGAGGAGCACCACGTCGTTGAAGGCGACCGTCATGCCGCCGCCCGTAAGCGGATGCCGCATGTTCATGGCGTCGCCGAGGATCATCATCCCGGGGGTCCTTTGCGTCGCCGGGGGCAGGAACGAGTTGGGCATCGATCGCAGTTTCCCCTCCTCGATGGCTTTCTTGAGCGAGGGCCGCACACAGGCGGGGACGGCGGGGAGCGCGACGTTGAGGAGGTGGTTCTTGACGCCCCCGGCTTTGGGGCTCGCGCTCGGCAGGTTCTCGGGCACGTCGATCAGGATGCGCGTCTCGTGCGTGCCGATTTGGTAGATGAGGATGGGCGGAGCGTCGGAGAGGATGACGTGGCCGTGGTTCGGCGCTGGGAGAACGGCATCGATCAGCTCGAGGCCGAAGAATTTGCTGCGCACCCGCGGTTGGTGGGGGAGGTGTTCTTTGCGGAATTTGCTGTTGTAGCCGTCGGCGACGAGGGTGAGGGTGCCGAAGTAGAAGTCGGGTTTGCCGTTGGTTAGGCAGTTGACGCCTAGGACCTGCGGGCTGTATGTGCTGGTTATGAGGGAGGTGACTGTGGATTCTATGACGGTGACGTTGGGGGTTGCGCGTGCGGCGGCGCGCAGCTTCTGGATGAAGCGGCCGTGGTGAAAGGAGCGGCCTTCGGGGCGAGTGCCGGGGGAGACGGTCGAGTAGGGGATGGAGACGGGTTCGCCGTGGTAGGTGACTTGGTAGCCGTAGCAGGGGATGGCGTCGATGCCTTCGAGGCAGTCTGGTGGTTTGGTAAGTTTGATGTCTTGTCCTTAGGGATGTTTGTGCATACCTCTCAATCCCAACTTCTCCAACGCCTGCACACCGCCCGGCTGCAACAGCTCCCCCACAATCCGATCCGGCTCCTTCAAGCTCTTCTCCAACAGTATGACACTGCGCCCTTGCTTCCCAAATGCCACTGCTGCGGCGCATCCGGCAATCCCGGCACCCACGATGACGATGTCCGCTTCATGATGTACACGCCGCCGAATCTCCTTCTGGTCGGGTGAAGGCGTGTATTCACAATTCAATTTCCCCTTCAGCGTCGTCGTGTGTTGCGAGAGCGAATTCGAAGTCGTCGACAATGGCCTGGTTGTAGTTGTCGTTGAGGACATTGCGGGGCGAAGTAAGAAATCTCCGCACCAGTTTCGGGAGAGGACAGCCACGAAGAGGCGATAGGGAAGGAATTAGGCAAACAGGAAATCAGCAGAACGGCGCAATTGGAAGAGAAATGGAAAATGCAGTCGTTAATAAAGAGATAGTCGGAGGTTGCGGCTGCCCAGGCGGTGAGTGGCAATCGGAGACATTCTGCCACGGGGGCGCAAGGCCATTTTACATGTGGAATGCAGGGATCTATCCTTCGGATCGTGCCATGGTCGACAGACACGCACCCATCGTCCCACCATGGGTGGGCCAAAAGGCACCTTTTTGGACGACGACAATTACTGATGGAGGTAGATTTGCCAGAGTCTCCAAGTTGCGCATCCAATTTTGGGGGGATACGCAACCGCACCTCAACCTCACTGAACTTGTGAATTCAAAGACCCTGAGAACGGCAGAGACGCTCATAAAAAATTGATCATGTATTTCCCAGCCTATGCGATGGTGGATATATAAACCGGGAGCCCGCAAGAAGCCGACGTCCGCAGTAGAAATTAAGAAATGATGCAGCAGCAGCGCAGCTCAAGTTTCGCTAGTATACGTCAAACCCGTTCCCATTTTATCGTCCCAGTTCTTGTGTGTCTCCTATTCCCCCGCTCTCCTTCATTCGCAGACGTCCCTCTCATCCAAAAAATGTCCAGATAGCACGTAAAACACATGATGCAACGAAACAAGACGAAAGCCTCCGACGCCATTGCTATGGTGCAAAACAAGAGGAGAGAGAGATGCGCTAAAGCTGACGTCAACACCCACCCGCCCAGAAACCCTCGATCCGCACAATCAAGCATCCTGCATCGTCAGCGATTGTCAGATGCCAAGTTTAGAGTCTATGGCAACTTCATATCGCTACGCCTGGCGGGATGAATGGAGTAGTGGGGTTCGGTGATGGTAAGGGTGAGTCCACTTCGGCGATCGTCTCCTGCAGGTTGAGATTTCCCGGTCGTTTGGGCCCATCGGCGCCAGAAGCTGGGGGAAGCATCGAGTTGCGGTAGTACGCGTCGTAGAATTCGCTGAAACGGGGGTCATTCTGCTGGTTGCTGGTCGTGGACGAACCGGGAGCGAGCAGAGAACTGGAAGCGCTGGGACGCCGACTCCCGTCTTTGGATGAGCTCACGGCAAGCGAATTGCGGTTCGAGTTCTCGGGGAAGGAGAAGTTGTACGTCGAATCCATCGAGTTGGCCGTCTGGTGGGTGCTGGCTCGGTTCAGGCTATACACACTGCTTGCATTACTCTGGTCTCGCTGGTGCGCGGGCTGGTAGGTCTGGGGTTGGAGGCGGACGGGCGAGGACGGTCGGTCAGGTTCAGGTTCTTAGAAGCGGTCAGGTGTGTGCCCTTCACAACATTGATTGCTTAAAATACAACGCAACAGAGGAATGCTACCTACTCGACTGCCCTGTCGTATACAGAGATCGAGGCTCATCCGCCAGGCTAACGTTTGGAAGCGTGGGTTGCCTGGCCTCGGGTGTAGGACCACGGGAAGAAGGCGCGCTATCCATGTTGAACGAAGCGGATTCCGACTTGGGCATGTCCTCGGCCGGGTGCACAGAGACCGTCAAACCTTGGGGCATGGGAATTTGAGGAGCATGAGGCGAATAGTGATCAGGACGGAAGTTTGGCGATCGAGGGGAAGTTTGGCCATCGCTGTCGCCGCTATCTGAGCCACCGAATGTAGGAGATTGAGAACCATGGCCGAAAACCGGTGACGGAGGGACGTTCAAGTTCATGTTCACAGCGGCGCTGTGGTTGATACGCCCACTCAGCTCGGCCTCAGAGGGCGCGAGCCTGATGGTAGGAGGCGACTTTCTGCGTGGGGGCGAGTTTGAGGAGTCGCGGTTGCCAGCGGTGTGAGCCAGCGGAAGCGTCGTGACACTGCTCGACATGGAATGCGTCTGCTCCTTGAGAGCCAGGGACGCGCCGCCGATTAAGGTGCTGGTGCTTCGGTTCTGGCTCTCGGCGAATGACCCGGCTCTCGACGTCGGACGCGACTGCGGGATACCGGCGTAGAAACCAGCTTCAATGGCTCGAATACCAAAAAGGTCGCCTTCGTCCTTCTCGCGTTGGTTCAGCTCCATTTGATCATCTTTGCGACCAGCCTCGATATTCTCCTGTTCCTTGGAGTGCTTCTTCAGCCTGGTGACGGTGTCAGCGTCCTTCGAGATGATGTTGTCAGTAATGTCGACTCACCTTCTCCTGTCATAAAGCAGTTTGATGCAGCCAGCCAAGATGGTCAAGAGGAGTAGTGCTCCAAAGACGACACTGTAATGATCAGCCCGCCTCTTCCGTCGATCATTGTGAGCCAAGACATACCAGTACTTGTAGGCCAACTGCAGGTCTCCAAACCAATTAGCCATTATGAAAAAATAATACCCAACACTGCTCGAATAGAAAAATACGAAGGACTGGAGTCACCGGGCTCTCCCACGAGTGCGAAGAGCGGTGGGAGAAGAAGGGCGTGGTGAGCCTCCTCGAAGAAGCGGCGAAGACGGTCACTCCCCGGGCGTGCGGCTGGGTCCAACAGATCAGGTCTTCCAAAGTGGTTGGATGAGTGTTCCAACGCGCTCAATTCGGTTCAAGCCCTCAGGCCCCTTGGGGAGGGGGTTTCGAATACAGGCAAAAACGGGGATCCAGAGGACGGAAACGGAGTAGACGCCGGAACACGGTGAACGGCGCCGTTGTTTCCGGGGGCCGAACCAGTCAAAGAGTGAATGGAAAATGAGAGAACGTGTGAGTTCACACACTGTTGAAAAGAGTGACTTTGTTCCTGGAGAGCCTGAAGAAGGAAGGGAAGGCAAAAGGAAGGTAGAAGCAGAAGAGGCGACAGGCTGGTAAAGAACCCACGCAGACCCACGCGGGCAGCAGGCCCCCCAGTACGGAGTATGGCCAGCCCTGCTTTCTCTCGCGCCATGTGCATGCACTGGGTGGACCATCACCACCGGGCGCGGAGGGCGGAGCACGTTTTGGAGAGCCTTGGGCGCCTTGCCGTTTTGGGACAGGAGTGAATGATATTCTTGGAAACGATGCTTCGCCGCCAGTCAATTTCGCTTCTAGGATACTCGCTTACCGGAAACGGCCAATTGTACCAGGCGCTAAACGCCATTGAATACCTTGTAAGCGCTAGGGGGAGTTGACTCGTCGACGGTCGGACGCCTCCAGCCGGGCTCCGTCTGGACTCTCCTGAGTATTTTCCGTGGCGCCCCTTCGCGAAGTTCAGTGGCCTTTGGGGCCGCCGTGGTTTCGCCTTTCTCATGAGCCACCCGCTTGTTGGTAGAAGCTGATAGGCGGGCTGAGGATCGCTTCTGTTGCCATTTGCTCCGTCGTGGCCCCTCTGATAGACCGTCCGTCCAACAAGAGCGCCCGGCAGCGCTGAGCCCAGTGCAGAAAGGGAGATCAACGCCGCCAGCAGAGACCATGCGTGATTCGCCCTGGATCGGACAAGGAGCCCGGGAGCTGTGCGGGGAGCACTCTGCAGGAACAGGCAAAGTCTGTCGAGGCTTGGCAGGGGCCGCCACGGTAAAAAGGTGAGAATCGTGGAAACAACATTCACGCCCAGAACGGAGAGGCCATCCCAATACGGGGAGTCCGTCCCCCACTGCTGGTACCTGGGTGGCGGTTTGCTCTTGACTCGCAGAAGGAAGCACGCAGAGAAAAAGAAACGAAAGGGAAATACGGAGTACTCCCTCCTGTGTTCGCTGGTGCGTTGCGGAAAAGCTCTCCTCATCCTCATCCTGGGTGCAAGCCTGTTGAGGTTCGGGAGAGCGGCCGGCAACCTGTGCCGAGGGCCGACAGAGTATGAAGAGGCACCAAGAACGGAAGAACCTTTGCACGCATTGAATGCGAGAGACGTCTCTCACCGGCGCCACAAACCCGCCCAAAGAGGACATGACAGCTGCAGGCTCGTTCTGCGGATGTGACCGTCTGAAACAGGGCCTGTGTGCGACTCCCAGGTTCGCTGGCCAACGCCTTCAACAAACCAGCTGACATCGTGATCGTGATGTTGGGTTCATCGCCTTTCGGAATCCGCGCACGTCGCTTTATATTGTAATAATAAGATCCTCATCGTATTGCCGGGCCGCCGCACTGAAGACAGTCTGCCTCAGCCTCACCCCTTGATTCGCTCCCGCCACTCAGTCGTACTTCCGGCTTGCGACCCTTGAGATACGAGCGAACTCCATCCTTAAAATTCACTGGCGATGCGCTCTTCGAAGAGAGACTCTTTGCCGTTTCTCGTACCAACTCCTTTTCGTGCATGATGGTGATGTAAGAGGTTGGTTATTGTTCAATGTGATGCCGCGAAACTGGGGCGGGAGCTACGCCTATATTAAACCAACAGATGCTGAAAATGAAAGCAGTTATCATCATTTCATAGATGTAGCTTCTCACGGACCTTGCAACGCAGATGAGGCACGGTACAGCGCCCATCGAACTCATCGAAATATTCGCCTTGCAATTCGTGAGATCGCAAACGCGACATACGCAAACGATGTGTGGCGAGGGGGGGAATGAGCGAGTATCTCGCTGTGAATTCGTGTGAACGAGCAGTTGAGGCTCTTGGCACTGAGTTGGCGATGTTCGTCGTCATGACCGCCCCGCTACCCCAACCCTTGGAAATCACACAACCCTGCAGACGCTGCCACGTTCCTGAACGCCAACACACCTCCCTCGCCCAGAATTGTATATTAGTTGTTCCGAATTTACCTTGAGTATACAGTATACTCCGCAGCAGAAAGCATCCATGGCATCATCTACTATCAATGCAAAGTCCGAGAACAAGTCCAAGGTCCTCAAGGTGGAGCCGTTGGTCAGTCGCTCCCCGTTCTTATCTCTCCTTCTTCTTCTCACTCCTCAAAGGACCAGAAAGATGCCAAGTGGGCCACCTTAGTCAAGTACGTCATATGTTCTGCACTACAACATATACTCTCAGTTAACCCATTCCCTAGAATCACGTATACAGACCCTGAGGGAGTCGAGCGCACATGGGAGTCAGGCGAGCGCCTCACACGCCCCAAAGACTGTGACATCGATGGCGTAGGCGTCGTTGCCATCCTCCGAGACCCGTCCAAACCCGACGAGTCTCCCCGTATCGTTCTCCAGAAGCAATGGCGTCCGCCTGTCAACGCTACCGTCATTGAGATTCCTGCCGGTCTCATCGATCCGAATGAGACGCCTGAGACATGTGCGATCCGTGAACTCAAAGAGGAGTGTGGCTATGTAGGGGAGGTCATGGACGGTGATTTTGGAGTCAGTCCAATCATGTTCAACGGTACGTATGCATTTCTCTTATATCAATTTTCTACATCGATCTTCGACCTCCCGTTTCCAGCCACGCCACGAAAAAATATGCTCCATGAAAAAATTCACTGAACCTCTCGGACCCTTTCAACGCAAAAAAAGATTCCCGAAACCCTTCCTATTCGAAAGGACGAATGTTGATGAGAGTGGGACTCGAACCCACGCCACTTTCGTGACCAGGAATTAGTGTTAAGAAGACCTTAACCTGGCGCCATAACCAACTCGGCCATCTCACCGTGTATTTCAATGGGAATTTTTTGGCAACAAAGGTCATATTCCAGCTTAACTATATTTCCCAGCGTGAACAGCCGGCAAAAACCGTGACGAAATTCAGCATGTTGAATATTCTCTCTGGATTTCCACGTGGACACTGACGTATTCCCGTCCCATTTGTCGAACCTACTGACTAACCACGGTCTAAACCTCTAGATCCCGGCTTCTGCAACACCAACCTGAGGATGATACATATCTCAGTCGACATGTCCAAGCCGGAGAATCAGAATCCGCAACCGGAACTCGAGGACAACGAATTTATCGAAACATTCACGGTTCCCCTTACCGACCTCTGGACTGAGTGCAAGCGGTTTGAGGAGCAGGGATACGCCATCGATGCGCGGGTGGGCACACTGGCGGAGGGAGTCGAGCTGGCTAAGCGTTGGAGGTTAGCGTAAGAGGTATTTGAAAAGATGCTCTTCACGGGTGTGATTTGCAAAAGTTCTTCGAAGCGGATATGTGATCAGATCGTAGCAGGGGCCAGGGAAATCACGGCTATTCTCCAGTTCCGCGACATTCCAGCTGGACCATATAGACTCAGTTACAACCCATCACGGGCTTTATCAATGTCAATGAGGTATGTCATAGCATGCAATCAGCCGAACTCATGCGGATTGCTCGCAAACATTACCACTCAGCACTGATTGCTGAAGTCTAGATTACAGTGTAAGCGGCTCTAACCGCAGTTCAGTCCCAAACGGGTTCATCATTGAAGCGTTATGAAAACCTACAGTCACACCCTCTCATATCATCTCCGTTGTCCTTGTAACCATGCCCACCACGCTAATTCAGTTAGTTATCCATCTCATCCGCCGACCCGTCTTCCGATCCTTTCTCGGAGCCATCCCCCACCTCATCCGCCACCGCATTCTCCTGCCCATGTCCCCTTCCATCCTCCCTGCTCTGGCTCCGGCTGTCATCACCAGAATCGTGTACACTTTCTACGGTTGGACGAGGCGGATGGGCCTTTGCCTCCTCTTCAGCTTGAGCTTGAACGGCAGGCCGAACTAGAGCTTGGAACGCAGTGACTGGTGTTTGGACTGGAGGTTCCACTGGGTCTTGAACTGGAGCCAGACCCGGAGCCGGAGCCGGAGCTGACAACACGACTGGATCTGCAGTCTGACCATCCAACCCCCCATGCTCCCGTATCCACGACCTCAGCGTCCTCTCCATCATCTCCGCCACCCTCAACCGCTCCTCAAGCCCCTTCTTCTCCCCCACCACAATCTGATACGCCTCCTTCAACCACGCCAACTCCACCTCAGCGGCCGACAGTCTCTGCGCCATCGTCAACGTCTTCACCTGGAGCTCAGAAATCCAATTATTCATCTCCTGCTGCTCCTGTAATCGCTCTATCCGCAGCCCCCTTCTGCATTTCTGCATCGTAGTGACCACGTAGACCTTTTCCCAATCTTCCAGCCCGAGCTCGAGACCCTTCTGCTCTACGAACTTTGCATCCCGGATCCAGCTTACCATGTCCACCTTGCACCCATGCTCCAGTGGAACCACACCGCCCTGGGACCCGGGAATCTGCACTCCGCCGGGCGTATCGGTCCAGCGCAGGACAATGGGGATGGTGTTGTCTGGGTCCGTGGGGAGCGGGCTCGGATGCCAGTATACGAAGTTCCAGTCGAAGCGGAAGAGGAGATCTTGGGATTCGCAGAGTTGGAGGAGGTGCGGGCCCAGAGGGTCTCGAGGCGGGATCCAGAGGTCATGGATGATTGTTGTGGGGCGGCCTTCGTGGATGCGGAGGAGGATGCGCGGTTCGTTGGGGTTGTGGGGGGTTGCGGGTACGTATCTGTGTGTTGTGCTGGCTGTCCTAGTTTGAGTGGGGATTTGGGCGGAGGCGGCGCTCGGCGCGGATTGAGGGCGCTGGGGAGGTGGGCATTGCTGTGTTTGCTGCTGAGACTGCTGCTGTTGGGGAGGTTGTTGGAATGCTTGCTGCTGGGACTGCTGCTGTTGGGGAGGCTGTAGGAATACTTGCTGCTGCTGCTGCTGTCGTTGTTGCATATACCGATAGTAGGCCTGCTGTTGAGCGTGTTGAGCTTGCGCAGGCTGCAGCGGAGCCTGTTGCAGCGGCTGTTGGGGAGGCTGTTGATGAAGCCGTTGTTGTTGTCGTCGTCGTTGTTGCTGCTGTAGCCGAAGTAGTTGCTGCCGCCACTGTTGTTGTTGCTGCGACCATTGCTGCTGCTGCGGCTGCTGCCGTTGTTGCAGTGCTCCAATCTGCATCTGAGTAGGAACCGGGGCCTGTAACTGAGGATTTATCTGCGTATTAATTTGAGGCTGTGTCTGTGCCAGTTGATAGGATCGTTGCTGCTGCGGCGGTGCAGGTGGTTGGAGAACTGTATGTTGAAATGTGTACCTCTGTTGTCCCTGGCTTTGTGAGCTTCCGCGTGGCTAATCGGTGATACTAGAATCCTGAAAATTTATGTCCGAGCCCTTACATGCAGAGGTAAATGCGGCATGGCAAAACCTCGTGCGCCTGGCTGCGCTCCGTTTGCGCCGGTTGCCTGTGCCTGTTGTTGCCGCTGGAGTGGAGTCGCCATTGTAGGTGGACCTTGGACTTGGGCTCCAGTTTGAGGAACAGAAGGACGGTGCTGGGCGGGCTTTAAGACTTTTGCCTTTTGTTGGTACTCATGGGTGAGGGTGAGGTTGAGGTTGAGGTTGTCGCGATGTGAAGTCAAGAGTTGAATTGGGAGCGAAGGAGGGAGTGAAAAAGTAAACAGGCAGAAGCGCGCCGCAGGAAAAAAATTGCCCGTGAAGGGCAACTACGCAAAATTTTCTCTACGCTAACTGTCAGCTCCGTATATAGCAATGGAAATGTGGGGAAAACACTCTCTTTCACCGGAACGGCCTGGGTCACTGTCACTCCTCTACACTATTGACCACCGGCCTCTTCCAACTCGAAAGATCCACCGCTTTAACTCCGTCAAGTCGTTTTGCAGTGGATTCCACTATGTTTATTGGGAACTTTATCTTATTTTGGCGTCCTTTCGCCTCACTTCATACAGATTCTCTGACTGAATTCCTCGAATTCTGTGTTGTGGTATGCCAACACTCTCCACTTCCGTCAATGATTTCACCTCGACTTGAACGCTTGGGTTGTGAGTTGAAGTATTTCCGTCAGACTCGGCGAACACGCGGTTTTGCGCAGGACTGGGGCTTTGTTGGAACCGCCGCTGCGAGCGTATGTGGTCCGGCAGTGAAAACTCCCGTCGTCGGAAGCCAGGCTAATCCTAAACGTGATGCTAGCCACGAATGTTACTTGATTCTAAACATGTCATTGTTCAAACATTTTGCGGTTGAGCGTAGTCCTTAAGAATCGCACGATCCATCAGATATTTCTCAGGTGGAGGGCAAGTTTGGAGAACGAAAATGTTAGGGGCACCAGGTGTTGCAGTAATTCGTGATCGCGCACGTAAGCCGGCACCGTGCGCACCACTTGTTTTCATCATCCATCTACGTAAACACTGTTTTTAAGATAATACTAACTCTACTAAAACTTATTAGAATTATACGAAAATAGAGCTAAATAAAAGCCCTTACACTCCTCTACTAGAAGAAACTACGAAAGTACCTAATACCTGCAAGCGCGCAGCTTATTTCTAGCACGTAGACTACCTACGGGACGGAGAGACGATGCGCGATATTGTAGCCGCCTATAGCATTAGTACACCTACAGGCAGAAGATGGAGAAGAGATAGGAAGGAGGGTTATAAGAGGCGTACAAGGAAGCTGCAGGCAGAAGCTCTTAGGTATAAATTAGGACAGCTATATAAGATCTTCTAGCAGACTTTAGATGCTATGCTCTTACCTAGCAATCCTGTATGGCACCTCCCTCTCTACGTACAGAGGCAACACTTTAAGATAAAGAACAAGATACGCTCTCTTTAATACAATCTACGTACGCAGGAGAACAGCGCGCAGTTATTTCTAGCTGCTTACACTAAGGAGATCTCTAAGAAGAACAAGAGGGAGAGGGTCTTCTACACGGAAGAGCATAAAGATAAGCGTATATATAGGTATTAGGACTATCTCTTCTTTATAGATAAGGCTTATTTTAACTTAAAAGAGCGCTTCTAAAGGTGTAGGATCTTAAGGAAGCCTAGTACAAGATTAGATGCTAAGAATATAGTGGAAGAGACAGATACTGCATACAATTATGCTAAGAAGGTTTACTACTTTGCCTACATTAACTAGTACTACAAGGGGCCTCTCTGCTTCTACAACGACGAAAAAGATATGCTGCTAAAGCCTAAGCCTCCTCTAAAACCCTGCTGCTTAAAGTACAAAACAGATAGCTAATATTAGGAGAGAGTGCACTAGTAGAAGGCCTAGAAGCTGCTAGAGGTAGAGTAGCAGGTAAAGGGCAATTTAATAACCTAGAAATACTATGCTAAGAAGATCCTGCTATACTACATTAAGGCTATTTACAAGGCTAGATTAGATAACCTATCTAAGTAGAGGTTGCAGGAGGATAATAACCTATCTTACAGCACAAAAACAACCTACAATGTAGCCTATATACTTAAGCAAGAGAGCTAGATTAACTGCATAATTTACCCTAGGCAATCTCCTAATCTAAATCCTACAGAAGGGTGTTAGCTTATCCTTAAGGAAAATACAAAACGCTGGCTCTAGTACCTATAGGAGGGAGAGAAGAGATAGGATAGCACTGTATAGTATTTTAAGAAGATCTTTTAGGAAGAATATGAGAAGATAACGCTTAAGCAGATAAGGGAAATAATTAGTAAGATGCTATAGAGATGCCAGGAGCTCATCCGTATAGGTAGTAGGCACATTAGGACCTAGAGGTTCTAATTAGCTATCTGCAGCTATAATACTATAAAACTCTATATAGATAGACTTAATATATATCTTAATAACCTTACAGTTAAAAATAGGTGCCCTTATAGCTCTGTTATTAAATTTGGGTGAGAAATATATAGGGTTGCTGTGTTATGTGGATGTGCTTATGTGAACGATCACGAATTACTGCAACACCTGGTGGGGGCAAAACAATGCTTACATCCCCAGCGATGTGAGATATTGGGCGGTCAATAATTCCTTATTTGGTGATTATCTAAGCTCGGCCATATACTTTCTGCACAGATAGAATTCCCGTGCACCCCACCATAATACGTTATGCAGATTTAGCACTCTATACTATCAACACTACACAGTTAAAATAGATCCTAAGGAGTTTGCTATACAATGTGCTATTAAAGATCTTAATTCTGGCATTTTTACAAGCTAGCGAAAAGCTGCTAGTTCATATGGGATCCCTGAATCTACGCTGCATAGTCAGCTATGAGGTCAACAACCACACACGATAGTTCATCAGAATCAACAGCGATTGACTCCAGAGCAAGAAGCTTTTCTAGTCGATTGGATTCTTGATGAGGACTCACATGCACAACTACCTTCACATCCCCGTGTACGAGAAATGGCCACCCGAATCCTCCACATGAATGGTGACTTCAAGCCACTCGGCCAACTATGGGTATCCCATTTCATCACCTACAATCCACGTGTCACATCTATAGTCGGCCGAACAATCGAGAGTGCAAGAACTACAGCAGCTAGTCATGACACTATATGAGCCTTCCTTGAGCTATTTGAGTGTACTAGGATTGAGCTAGGTATACAGTATGAGGATATATGGAATATAGATGAGATGGGCATCACACTTGGGATATGTACAAATACACAGATACTTGCAAGCTCTTTAAAGAAGAAAGCTTATATCAAATCTCCAGAGGATCGCGAGTGGGTATCTGTCATCGAGGCTATCTCAGCTACCGGCATCAAGCTCCAATGCCTAGTCATCTTCAAAGGCAAATATCTACAGTCAATCTGGTTTCCAGTACATGTATTAGATTTGATGGTATCTGAAGATGTCACGGTGACAGAAAGATTGATTGAAGATGTGTTGACTGATTGTATTCAGGTGTGTGTCTGTGTGTGTGAGGCTAGGGCCTGATACCGGTTTTGATGTTCCTTCTCTGGGCACCAAGGCTGTGCAGAGCACTAGCCACTGCAGAATCACTAGCCACATATCCTCAGAGAGTACCGGTACAAACACCTTCTCCTAGTCCTCCTCTTCAGTCCCAGATGAGATGTCCATAAACTGGTTTACCATCTGATATACCCCCTCAGCTTGGAACCCATTGCAAGCTGGACCCAACAGTATCTCCTCTTCAGAGTAGCATGTCTTCCAACTTGCCTTGCACTTCATCCAAGTCTATCTCCTTCAGGGCATTTGAGCTCTTCACTCTTTGCAGCCCCAATTGTTCCAAGAACCTATTCCACTTGTTCCCAGGTAATACCTTTGTAAACCATCAGCTAGCATCCTCTCTGATTGCAGATACTCAATCCTGATGATCCTAGATGATACCTCTTGCCTCAGCCAGTAATTGTAAATGTCTACATGCCTGAGCTTGGTCTGCAGCCTTGAGATCTCTGCATTGAGGAGCCTAATGGTTTGTTGATTGTCACAGTGGATGGTTATTGTCTGCTCTGGGAGTAGAACCTCCAGTTCCTTGAGGAGTCTTGAAATAAACATGGCTTCCTTTGCCACCTATGAGAGTGCAAGCAGTTCAGCTTCAGTGGTAGATGTGGTGACTGTATCTTGCTTGTTTGCTTTCCATGCAATTGTGATGATCCAAGAGGAGCTAGACTCCACCCGATCAGGGTTGCTCTCAGTTAAGTGAGAAAGATCACAGAGCATAGTGCAGCTGGCATGACATGATCATGTATTATCTGCGGAGTGTTCTCAGTGATCATCTGATCTCTCTGGAGCAAGGAGAGCAACAGAGCAAGAGCATGCAACCTGCTCTCAATGCTCTACTCATGTTTATGGAGCAAAGGGAGCACCTCATGTATATAACAGTAGACGATGAGCCCATATGGCTCATTGTGTTCAATTTCAGTCAAGTACTTCTTAGTACACTTGGTTTTCAAATACCCGTTACCCCCGGTGTCACCCCTGTGCAAAGAACCCTATCGTTCATCTCCGAGAACCAACCAAGATTCCTAGAGGATATACCATTATCTGTGGAACCTTACAGCAATGAGATCATTGAATAGTTTAATTGTATATCCTTGGGAACTCTTTCTATCCAGTGTATTATCTACAAATGATGTATCACTTGTAACTTCCAAGGAATCACCTCCTCCCATTTTAAGACCAAGGTTCTTTGTATCAAGGAGGTACAGAAGGACGCGGTCTGCTCTATTTTGGTGTTCCTGTCCTGGGTTCATCAGGAAGTGGGCCAGTCTGGAAGTTGCAAAGGCAATGTCTGGTCTGGTGGTGACTGCAGCAAATAGCAAGGATCCAATCTTTCTCTGATACTTGTTGATCTCAGATGGTATTGCTAGGCCTTCCCTTGGCTTGAGTTCAACATTTGCCATTGGGGTATCATGTCTGAGGTCTGTTCTGTCCACCAGATGGCTGATCTTCTCAGCATACTGGGCTTGGGAGAGAAGGAGAGTACGCTCTTCACAGTCTCTCAGGACTTCCACACCAAGGAACCACTGAAGATCACCACCTCCTATAATAGTGTACTTCTCTATGAGTTTCCTGATGGATTCCTGAGCCTCTCTCTTCCTAGACTTGTAGAATGTAACAATGATATCATCCACATAGAAGAACAAAATGATTCCATCTTTAATGAGACAACAAGGTTCATGTTTCACTGTGTGGAATCCTATTTCCACCAGTGTCTTTGTCAATTCCCTCTGCCACAGCAGGGGAGAAATCCTGAGTCTATACAGGGCTTTGTTGAGTCTAAGGAGTATTCCTGGCTTCCTGTATCCTGGAGGCATCTGCATGTAGACTTCTCTGTCCATGGATGCATGCACAAAGGCATTGGTAACATCATATTGCTTGAGTTCCAGGTCAAAGTGTGCTGCAA